TGTGTGTGTATGAGGTGGGGGGTGGGACATGTGGGAGGTGGGTACACGGTGGGGTGTGTGTGTGTGAGTGAGGCATGTGATATGCATGCTGTGTGTAGTGTGTATAGTATGTGGATGTGGGGTGTGTGAGGTTTGTGGGGGCAGGCATGTGGGGGGGTGGGACATGTGAGGGGTGGGTACACGGTGGGGTGTGTGTGTGTGTGTGTGTGTGAGTAAGGCATGTGATATGCATGCTGTGTGTAGTGTGTGTAGTATGTGGATGTGGGGTGTGTGAGGTTTGTGGGGGCAGGCATGTAGAGGGGTGGGACATGTGAGGGGTGGGTACAGGGTGGTGTGTGTGTGTGTGTGTGTGTGTGCGAGTGAGGCATGTGATATGCATGCTGTGTGTAGTATGCATGATGTGTGGACATGCATGTGGCTCTCTTTCATATGGATGTAAACAGTGTCATTAGGAGCACTGTCCTCACTACTTTCTCGGAGGCGTGGACACACGTCCACGTGAAATCTGTCCAGTCCTCTAAGCAGATGGGGCTTTCTGGGCCTCGGCCAGGTCTGCCAGTGACACTAACAGAAAGGCCCCTCCGTGCCTGTAACAAAACCATCGGTGGCTTCCCACCTGCTGAACTAGGAGCTGAAGTGGCACAGGCAGGACCTCTGGCCCTGCTTCCAGGTGCAATGAACTCAAGGAGACCAGCTGGTGGGTGAGCCCTGGCTGCAGGGCACGGCATGGTCTCCTGGACGTGTGGTCAAAGGACAGAGTTGAGGTGGCCCCGTTTTCCGCAGGCTGGCCTCACAGTGCGGCTGTTTCCTGGACAACCAGAGCGGGTGGCAATCTCTTATCCTCAGCAGGTGGCATTGCCCTGGCTGTCCCAGTGCAGGGTGTGTGCCCTGAGAGATCTCCCCACTTCTCGGGGCCAGGTTGGCCCACTGGCCACTCTGTATGGGGCCCAGGCTCCAGCGGACAGGTGAGTGTCACTGCTGCTGCAGAGGGAGGAAGTCGGAGGCCCGCCCCCCACTATCTTCTTTAGCAAAATGAGAAAATGCCACTTTCCCTGGGAGGTCCCCGACTCTCCAGGCAGGATCTGTGTTACAGCAAGGCCACTTCCTTTCCCCTTTATGCAGCCCACCAGATCCACGTGGCTGGGTAGACGGGGCCTGCACGGCCCAGCGTCACAGAAGCTGATGCATAACCCACAGGTAGGACGTGAGCTTCCTAGAAGTGGCCGGTGATCCTCTACCCAACAGGACACGGTGGGAGATCACCTGTCGCTTTACAGCTCCCACGTAAAGTCGGTCTGCGTATCCTAAGCTAGAGGCTCGAGAGGCTGCGAGACCAAGAACTTCAGAAATAAACTGGAAGTTACTGTCCATGGGGATCCAACATATATGGAAATGAAAGCTCCCTGCAGATCTAGAACTCGGCCTCGAGAAGGGACATCACCAGGCAAAGAGTCCATTTATGTTGTCCTTCTGTTTCTCCCAATGTCTAATTTTCATACGACCTTCTCAGCACACGCGTATGTGGTAAGGCCTGGCTACAGTGAGTTCCCCAGAATCTCAGGTGCCAGCCCCACGGCCTCCCTTACACGTCCCTCTACCACGTCCCCCCAACATGTCCCCTCACACAGCCCCCGTGACCAGTCAACACCCAGAAGACGAGCCACCCTGCACTGACCATGTCCATGAGCGCGGTCAGCACTTACAGCTTTCGGGGACTCCCTCCTTGGGGGGCATCAGCGGTGAAGCCCTTGGCTACTGACTGAAAGGTTGGTGGTTCGAACCCACCCAGAGATACCTTGGGAGGTTAGGCCCGGCTGTCACAGCCTTGACGGCCCCATGAAGCAGTTCTGGACGTGGGACTCACTGGGCAGCGCCCAGTGCCACCCCCCAACAACACCCAGTGCCACCCCCCGACGGCACCCAACACCACTGCCGTAGCTCTCTGGCCGTCATCTCCCTCATGTCCTTGTGAGCTGGTGCGGCAGGCTCGTGACCACACTGCAGACAAGTGTGAAGTGGCTGGGTAACAGCCCACCTCCACTGCCAATGGGTGACTGCCAATGGGCGAGGGGCCCAAGAAGGACCCTGCTCTTGGTCCCCAGCCCAGGCTGGAGACTGGACGGCCCCGGTCGGGGAGGCAGCGAGGCGTCTGCACCGGGTGTGAGCAGCACAGGCTGACTCTGAGATCCGTCACCTGTGCCAGCTGCTCATCACCAAGGGCTGTGGGGACACTGACTGGAGGGCTGGCAGGCCAACAGCGCACCAGCACCCCGCAGGCTGGGCCAGGAAGCTCCTGAGCGTGCCAACCTCCTGCCTACCTGCCCACCTGCCTGCCTGCTTCAACCCCAAACCCTCCAAGGCAACGCTCTTCCTTCTGGTTTCTTTTTAACGCAGTTTGGGTGAAAACTCACAGAGTGCATTAGTTTCCCATTCAACAATTTGTGCACATTTGCTTTCTGACATTGGTTGTGATCCCTCGATGTAACAGCAGTCTTCCCCCTTCCTCCCTGGGTTCCTGTTCCATGCGGCCTTCTCTCCCACCCCTCCGGCCTCCGGAGCTTTGCTCTCGGGCCGCTGCTTCCCTCTGGGTCGCCTGGTTGACGGTTCCGAGGAGCACGCTCCTCACAGCCGGCCGTTGTTTTGCAAAGTGCTTTCTTGCTAAGCTTCCTTCCTCAACCTTGTTCACGTCAAATGAATTTTACAAAATATATTTAAAAAAAAAAACCCACTACCATCGAGTCGATTCCAACTCATTGGGTTTCCGAGGCAGTAAATCTTTATGGAAGCAGATTGCCTGGTCTTCCTTCTGAGGAATGGCTGGCGGGCTCAACCCGCCAACCCTCTGGTTGGTAGCCAAATGCCGTAGGCACTACGCCACCAGCGCTCCCAGGCCTGTTCATTTTGGAATCCTCAGTGCCTAGCCCAGGGCTTGGCAGGCAGCAGGGGTTCGTGGAGTGATCAGTTGCATTGAGTGACTTCAGGTTCCCAGACTTCCCTCTCTGGACCTCATTTCCCTCCTCTCTGTAATGAAGACTGAGGAGCCCTGGTGGGTCCACAATGGTTAAGCCCTTGGCTGATAACTGAAAAGTCGGCCGTTCAAACCCCCCCGCTGCTGGAATTAGGGAGGAAAGCTGCGGCAGTGTGCCGCTATAAAGATGACAGCCTTGGAAACCCCGCGGGGCAGTGGGGCAGGTCCAGTCTGTCCTGGGGTCACTGTGAGTCGGAATCCACTCTCTACTGCAACGGGTGTAATGATGTGGGACTGGGTTGGCTCCATTCCCTTTCACTGGCGGTCGCCGTTCGCTGTGCACCTGCTGCCCCCTGCTGGCCAGGAGTGCCAGGCCCCTTGGTCCTGATTTTCTGGGCACCTTGGTCACGTGTGGGCTCCCTCACCTGATGAGGTGAAACCAGGGGCCTGAACCTCCCTCTTGCACGCCCACCACTCCACCGGCCCAGACAGACAGAAGGACAGCACCGGCTTCCTCTGCACTCAGCCGCACGTGGAAGCCTCCAGGGGACCTTTTCAAAGAACTTATGGTGTGTGTGGGGGGGGGTAGTTCCCAGACCAACTAAGTCAGTGCCTGGGGGGCCAGTGTGTTGTGTGAAAAGCTGTCAGCTGGCACCAGGATGCTGTTTGCAGACGTGTTATGTGGGGCCAAACGCTTGGAAGCCCAGGAGAGTCCCACCCAGGGGAAGAGGGACGACCCGGCATTTTTAACACAAACGCCCTCACCCCACCTTAGAGTGCTCTCTGACAAATCCTGGGGCGTCTCTCTCTTCTGGCAATCAGCTCCCCAGCCCCAGCGTCTCTGTCTCAGCACGGAGGACTCCTTAGGGTGCAGGCAACAGAACCAGCTGTGGCTAATTCTGGAGACACCAGAACTATCTGGAAGGGACTGCGTTTCTTGGCTACTTCACCACATGTCTTTGGGCTTTCCCTATGCTGGGCCAAGTCCCTGTGTGGCACAGTTTGTGCTCGACTGTGAACCTGAAGGTTACAGGTTCAAACACACTCAGCAGCAGCAACGAAGACAGGCCTGGCGATCTGTGCATAAAGGTGACAGCCCAGAAAACCCTGTGCAGCAGTTCCTGTCTGTGGCACACGGGGTGGCCGTGAGCTGGCACTGACTGGGCATGCTGGGGCCATTACTGCACACCTCACCCCCTCCCCGAGCCTCACTCTGCTCATTGAAGAAGTGGGAGGGCAGCTGCCTCTGGTTGGCCGGGTGGATCAAAGGGCAATGCATGCCACTACTTAACCTGCCCCGTCCAGCTGCTATAAATGCCAACAACTGCAACAATTTGTGTGTTTCATCACCAAACATCCTCACGCTACCTCCAGAGACCCCTAGTTCCTGGCAGTGCCCCCTGGTTTGCAGTAACATTCTAGCATGGTGCGGGGAAGTGTATCAGAGACTGAAGTCCAGCCCCATGTCACGTGGCTTGCAGCTACTTCTCACGCTGACGGGTTTCCACTTGAATGTTGGCGGAAGCTAGAGCCAGACTCCAAGTTGAAAGTTACTGAAAAAGACAACGCTGTGAGGCTCGCTCTAACACAATGTTCTTCTGTGTCCCGTTCTCTCCTTTAGGCCGCCC